GGATGGAATCATTTCAGTGTGGCATCGGGCAATATACAAGGTTATATTCGGGCTGGGAAGGTGGCTCAGTGGTAGAGTGGCCTTGCTTGCATGAGGCCCTGGGTTTAATTGCTCAGCATCACATAAGCAGAAAAAGCTAGAAGTGTGCTGTGGCTCAAATGGTAGAGTGCTAGCCTTGAGCTGAAGAGCTCAGGGATAGAGCCCAGGCCCAGAATTCAGGCCCCATAACTGCCAAAAAAAAGAAAAATAAATAAAAGGTTATATGCTTCTGTGATCTAGTTTTGTTTTGTTTTTCCAATCAGTTGTGGGGCTTTAACTAGGGGCCTGGCGCCGTCCCGCAGCTCTTCAACTCAAGGTGAGCACTCTACCACTTGAGCCATAGGGCCACTTCTGGTTTTCTGGTGGTTTATTGGAGATAAGAGTCTCATAGACTTTTCTGCCTAGGCTTGGTTTTGACTTGCGATCTTCAGATCTCAGCCTCCTGAGTAGCTAGGATTACAGGTATAGGTCACCCATGCTTGGCTGTGATCTAGTTTTTGTTTCCGCGTAGGTGTATACTTGAATGTATTTTTCAGTTTATGTGTTAGAAACTTAATCACATGTGCAACAGTGTTGGGAGGTCAGATCCTAATAAGAGGTCATGAGGTCACAAGGGCTCTGCCCTCATGGATGGATAAATGTCATAATCACAGGAGTGAGTTATCAAGGGAGGGAGTTGTAGATATACTGTACAGAGAGTTAACAGTTACATGAGTAAGGTAATGAGTACATTTCCTATCCAGCACTGTTACTTCCTCCTGTTTGTCCCCTACCATCCCTTCCCTCCCCAGCTCCCCAACTTCTCCCTCCCCCCCATACCTCCAAATTGTAAAGTTCGTTTTCAACATAGTGTCTTGTACATCTCATTGATACAATAGATCAACCTATATCCTTATTTAAGTATTTTGTTATATCCCTTCCCCTCCCCAAATTAAAAAATGTATATACAAGATGCAGGACACAGGAATCAGATACAGTGAAAACTGGGGTTATACCATGGGGAAGAACATACAAAAGAAACAAGAGAATCACATAGTGCATTATAAATACATTAAAAACAATAGCAAGAAAGAAAAAGACACTTCTGTCCCTGTCTTGGGGTTCATTTCACTTAACATCATCTTACATGGTCATATGTACATAGCTTTTGACTTTTTTGCTTGTCCTAGACATGTACTAGTTATTGCAAATAAGGGAAACCATGGGACCTATGTTTCTTTGGGCCTGGCTTACTTCTCTTAGTATAATTTTTTCCAAGTCTTTCCATTTCCTAATAATGGGGTGATGCCATTCTTTCTGATGGAGGCATAGAATTCCATTGTACATATAGGGAGTGAGTTGTTATAAAATTCAGTCTGAGTGGGGCACTGGTGGCTCACACTTGTAATCCTAGCTACTAAGGAGGCTGAGATCTGAGGATCACCGTTTGCAGCCAGCCCAGGCAGAAAAGTTCCCGTTAAGACTCTTCTCTCCAGGGGGCTGGGAAGGTGGCTCAGTGGTAGAGCACTTGCCTTGCATGCCTAAGGCCCTGGGTTTGATTCCTCAGCACCACATAAGCAAAAAGAAAAAAGCCGGAAGTGGTGCTGTGGCTCAAGTGGTAGAGCGCTAGCCTTGAGCCTGAGGGACAGCGCCCAGGCCCAGAGTTCAAGCCCCACGACCGGACCCCCAAAAAAAAAAAAGACTCTTCTCTCCAATTAATCACTCAAAAACTGGAAGTGGTGCTGTGGTACAAGTGGTGGAGTGCTAACCTGGAGCACAAAGAGGCTGAGGGACAGCGCCCATGCCCTGAGTTCGAGCCCTGAAAAAGAAAAAAAGAAAACAGAAACCCTGAGTCGAGCTGTCTTTTGCCCTTCTGCCATGGAACAAGGGCAGCACAAAGGCTCACATCTGGTGCCAGCACCGCATTTAGTCTTTCCAGCCTTCAGAACTATGTGTCAAATGCATCATCAACTACCCAGACTCAGATATTCTATAATCTAGAAATAACTTTAAAAATGAGATCCAGAGATCTCTTTTCAAAGTCAGCCTGAGCAGAAAAGTCTGAGACTCCATCTCCAAAATAACCAATAACCTAGGCTCATAACTAGAATTTCAGCTACACAAAAGGCTGAGATCTGAGGATTGCACTTCAAAGCCAGCCTGGGCAGGAAAGTCCATGAGACTTTTTTTTTTTGGTTCTGGTCGTGGAGCCTGAACTCTGGGCCTGGGTGCTGTTCCTCAGCTCTTCAGCTCAAGGCTAGCACTCTACCACTTGAGCCACAGTGTCACTTCCGGCTTTTTTCTTTTTTCTTTTTTTTGCTTATGTGGTGCTGAGGAATTGAACCTAGGGCCTCATGCATGCAAGGCAAGTGCTCTACCACTAAGCCACCTTCCCAGCCCTCCATGAGACTCTTATCTCCAATTAACCACCAAAAATCCAGAAGTAGGAATGTGACTCAAGTGGTAGAGGACTGGCCTTGAGCAAAAGCACTCAGAAACAGTGTCCAGGTCTTGCATTCAAGCCCCAAGATCACCATACACATTAATAATAATAATAGTAGTAGTAGTAGTAGCAGTAACAATAATAATAGTCTGAGTTTCATGGCTCACTCCTGTAAGCCTAACTCCTCAGGAGACTGAAGTCTGAGGATCACGATTTGAAGTCAGGCTGGATAGGAAAGCCCATTAAGCTCTCATCTCCCATTAACCACCAAAAGAGCCACAAGGAGAGCCATGGCCCAAGTGGTAAGGTGTTAGCCTTGAGCATAAAAGCTCAGGGATAATGCCCAGATCCTGATTTCAAGCCCCAGGACTGGCCCCAAGATAATAATAGTGATAATATCTAGCAAAAATGGAGCTGGAGAGAGGTTAAGGTGGTAGAGTACTATGCCCAGCAAGCAAGCTGAGCAAGCATAAGGTCCTGAGTTCAAACCTTGATACCAGCACAAATAAATAAATGAATAACTAAACAAAACCAAAACAGCAGATAAAGCCACAAAGAATAAGTGATATTGGAATTTATGCCTTAGGTTGACATCATCCACAGTGATTCAGGTGTCCCACAACTGGGGCGCCTGGAACCCAGATACAGGCACTTTTATGAGGCAATTACTCACATCCCCTCTTTTAGCAGATTAGAGGCTCTTTCAACTCAAGGCCTCTGCAAGGCTTTTCAGGTCTTCTACAGCAGAAACCCTGGGCTGGGAGCAAGCACCCAGGGCCCAGTTCTGCTCATCCTACTATTGGGAGGAGAGAATGTGCAGCAGGACCTTGGACATCCATCATTTTCTTTTGATAATAGGGATACTGAAGTCCCCAGGCTTAGCCACACCATGTATCACAGCCATGGTTAGACTCTGCCTTCTAGACTCCTGACCTAAAACGTTGCTTTATGAACCTCATGCTGAAGGCACTTATCTACAGACTGATAACGAAGGACACATACTTGATAGTTTCTTTAAAAACAAAAACCAAACCAAACAAAAACCAGGCTGTGTGTCCCCAGTGCAAATAGAGAATAATGGAGTTTTTATTGTGGTGACTTGTGCCAGAGAACCACTCATTACTCCTACTGGTGAACTTTGCTTGAAGCCTCTGGCTACAGAGAAAGCACCACACAACAATAAAAGCGGTTGCCAACATCAATTAAGCACTCTGTCTGTACTTAGTCCCTTTAAATCATCCCTACTCAGAACACAGGTTGAGCTGTGGGGACTCCTCTGGAGACGAGGTAAAGATGGCTACCTCTTCTGCCCAGTTTGAGTTCAGTGTTGTGTTCAAAGAAATAGCAGTTAAGCAGAAAAAAAAAATAATTGAGAGCGATCCAAGCCTTTACTGCAGTCTCTAGAGACAATACCAGAAGAAGTTCATTCTTAACACAAAGCACATTTTTCTTTCCTCTCTCTGCTATTCTCAGTATTTGGTTCCAGCAGAAAACTTCCAGAGCATCTGCTGTGCAGACTCCTTCACCTCCCTCACATACCTGCTCACCGGGCTTCCCCCGCACCCTCCTTCTGCCAGGCTCTGTGGTCTTCCCTGGGAATCTAGCACAGACAGACATCATTTATCCAGTCTTTTCTCCAAGCTGGGAAGCTCCAATCTACATAATGATGGAGAAGCAGCAGCTAAGAGGCTATGCTAGAAGAAGAAACGACTTAGAAAGTTCTACAAAGTCGGGTGCCGGTGGCTCATGCCTGTAATCCTGTCTACTCAGGAGGCTGAGATCCGAAGACTGTGGTTCAAAGCCAGCTTGGGCAGGAAAGTCCATGAGACTCTTATTTCCAATTAACTACCAGAAAACCGGAAGTGATGCTGTGGCTCAAGCAGTAGAATGCTAGCCTTGAGATGTAGAGCTGAGGAACAGCGCATCCAGGCCCAGAGTTCAAGCCCCACAACTGACAAGAAAGAAAGAAAGAAAGAAAGAAAGTTCTACAGATGAAGTTTTGAATATTCAATGTTAAAGTTCTTATTCTGTCGCACCAATTTTGTGAATAAGAAAACCCAAGGCTTAAAAAATAACCATCATCCCAGCTAGGCACTAGTAGCTCACGCCAATAATCCTAACTACTCAGAAGGATGAGATCTGAAGATCTCAGTTTGAACCATGAGCCTCCATTTCTGATTAATCAGCAAAAAGCTGGAGTTGGAAGCATGGTGGCAGAGCACCAGCCTTGAGCAAAAAAGCCAAGCAAGAGTGTGAGGCCCTAAGTTTAAGCCTCAGTAGTGACATAAAGAAGAAGAATAAAAATGATAGTCCAGCCTGGCAGCACAGAAGCCTGCACATGTGCCCCAGCAGAGGCCCAACCAGAAGATTCAGAAAAGCCTCCCAGGCCTCCCTAGGGCTGCTAGTGATTAAGAGGACTAGATCTTCAGGTTCTAGCCCCTGTCCACTTCTCCTGCACTTCCTTCCACAACATCTATAGGATCTTACATAAGAGGCAGATTGTGAACCACAAGCAAAGTTCAGAGAGCAGGAGGAAGACATGGTTAATCTGGAAGCAGAAGAATTCCACCATCCCACTAATAGCTACAAGATCATGTTAGGAGAACAGCCCCTATTTGTGGAATGGTACATTTGCTGAGGAATATTTTTTGGATATCCTGGGATATAGGCCAGGCCTTTCTACTCCTATTCAGTGGTATCAGGAGTATAAATATAAAGTGTGCAGCCACAGGCATCAGATAGCATCCCTAAATTCTTCAACTGGTTTACTAATCAAAATGTTGCAGGCTCCAGAAGTATTTCTGAGTTCCTCAGTAAAGAGTTGTGGCTCCATCCTTGGTACTGCAGGAGGGTGAAGCTCCCTGAAGAGGGAACAGAGGACAGATGAACAGACACACTGCTGGTGACAAGCAAGCTGACACCCTGCCTATATGCGAATCTGCATGCTACAAATCTTAGAGGAGAGCTCCTTCAATGCCACCTGGATTAATACTCAGAGAAATGATGTCCAGTATATGAATGATATTAAAGGGGGAAAACTGCCCCTTACATCAACAATAATCTGTGGATTCCTGTGTTTAGCTGGGAAAGGGACAAACTTGGGATAAAAATCTAGTGCAGTGGGGCTCTTTAGGAAAGTAATAATAGCAGCCATGTGCTGGTTGTTCACATCTGTAATCCCAGCTACTCAGGAGGCTAATATCTGAGGATTGAGGTTTGAAGCTAACTTGGGCAGAAGGTGCAGAGATTCTAATCTTCAACTAAAAGCCAGAAGTGAAGCTGTGGCTTAGGGGGTAGAGCACCAACCTTGAGCAAAAAAGCTAAGGGAAAGTGCCCAGGCCTTAAGGTTGAGTCCTAGTGTACACACACACACACACACACACACACACACACACACAAAGTAATAATATCAAATGCTTCCATTGTTGTACTAGTATTCTTTTTACCTATAGCTGTTCTATATTAATCACTCTAATTTCACAGTGATCATATCTGGGAAGGCTATCATATCCTTTTTATAGATGACAGGTTTGTTGACAACAACAGTAGGAGAGAGGGCTTATCCCATTGGAGAACCCAAGCTCTTCATCACAGTGTGCTCTGCCTGTCAGTCCTATTTTTCTTTTCTTTTATTTTTTATTTTGTTTTGTTTGTTTTGTAGGTCATGGGGCTTGAACTCTGGGCCTGGGTGCTGTCCCTGAGCTCTTCAGCTCAAGATAAGTGCTCTACCACTTGAGCCACAGAGCCACTTCTGATTTTCTGGTGGTTACTTGGAGATCAGAGTCTCATGGACTTTTCTTGCCCAGGCTGGCTTTGAACCTCAATTCTTGTATCTTAGCCTCCTGAGTAACTAGGATTACAGGCTTGAGCCATCGGCGCCCCACTCTTGGTACTATTTCTGTCACTGTCCATAAAGCAAGTTGCCAGTACTCGCTCAGTTGAAAAAAGAGGAGCCAGGTTGCAAGCTTTAACAAGGAAAGGAGTCTACACTCACCTTCCAGTACTGGCCCTTCTCCATAAATAGCAGGTTATGATTAAAAGATCAATGCACATTTTCAAAGGGATGTGCTAGGTGTAAAAGTAAGATAAACTCATTTGCCAAAAAATTGACTGAAAAAATACCTTCTAATTAACTAAAACACTATTGTATCAATATATTCCAAGAAGCAGCCAGGCACCAGTGGCTTATGCCTGCAATCCTAGCTACATAGGAGGCTGAGATCTGAGGACTGCAGGTCCAGGTGAGCCCAGTTAGGAACGTCTCTGAGACTCTTTTTGCTTATGTGGTGCTGAGGAATCGAACCCAGGGCCTCATGCTTGCAAGGCAAGCGCTCTACCACTGAGCCACCTTCCCAGCCCCAAGTCTCTGGGGCTCTTATCTCCAATTAATCACCAGAAAATGGGAAGTGGTATGGTGGCTCACAGTGGTAGAGTGATCGCCTTGAGCAAAAGAGCTCAGACACAGCACCCAGGGCCTCAGTTTAAGCCCCACAACAAACAAAAAAGTCTTGAGGTGTTTAATTGCTTTTTAACCAGAGAGCAGCTTTAGGAGTTGCATAGATATCAATTTTATATAGAATTAGCTATCTGGTCAAAATTTCCATTTCAAAGACACAGTTTCAAGCCAGATCCAGGGCCTTAGGTTGCAAAGTAATTTCCTGTCGTTCATGGGAGGAATGGTATATGAGGCCTCCCTGGCTCTTACCTGGTATAATTCAGGAGAGAAATGTACTTCCCTGCCAATGGGAAGCTGCCCTCCAAACAGCAGGCTATACTGCTGCAATGGGCCTGTGGAAGGCCCCAGTCTGGGCCTGATCTTCTCTTAGGGCAGATATAAGCCATGAGCTATCCTGAACTAATACCTGGGTCAGCAGTTTGTCTGAATTCTACTCTCTGTCTCTATGCCTACTTAAGAAGCCATGACAGAAGAAAGGGTTGTGATAGGAAAAAGCAATAGTTACAGGCAAGAATTTCCAGGCAAGCACCTGTGTTTTACCCAGCCTTTGAGGAGTATTTATGCTCACTCTACCCCGCTTTGTTTGAGGTAGGGTCATGCAATGTAGCCCAGGCTAGCTTCAAACTTGCTATCCTCCTGCCTCAGCTTCTAAATGCTGGGGTCACAAGCACCCACCACCATGCCCAATTCTACCCTACTTTTTCTTCTTTCCTCTTTTGGTGGTTCTAGGTGTTGAGCCTGCCAGGCCAGTGCTCTGCCACCTGAGGCCCCCCTCCCCGCAGCCCTTTTTGCTTTAGTTTTCTTTATTTTTCAGATAGGGCTTTGCTTTTTCTCATGATCAATCTTAGATCATGATCCTCCATCACAGTCCTCTTGTGGTCTGTATTACAGGTATGTGCCACTACTCCCAGACTGCTTTTGGTCATATTAAGATTATTGCCAAGACTGGTCTTGAACTGTGACTCTGCCATCTCTGCCTCCTGCATCTGGCTCAGCCTACTATTAAAAATATTTTGTAAGCTACAATTAGAATCTCTCAAACCATATGATGCATTAATTTTCCTGAAGATCTTGTTAAGATGTACGTGCTAGTCAAGTGCTGGTGGCTCATGCCTATAATCTTAGCTACTAAGGAGGCTGAGATATGGGGATTGCAATTCAAAGCTAACATGGGCAAGAAAGTTCATAAGACTCCTATCTCCCACTAACCAACAAAAAGCTAGAAATGAAGTTGTGCTAAGCTAAGGGAAGCTGGGAGCCAGTGGCTCACACTTGTTACCCTAGCAATTTAAGAGGCTGAGATCTGAGGATTGGAGCCAGCTGGGGCAGGAAAATCCATGCGACTCTTATCTCCAATTAATCACAGAAAAAGCTGGAAGTGGTGCTAATGCTCAAGTGATAGATCACTGGCTTTGAGCAGGAGTTCAGAGTCAGCTCCCAGGCCCAGAATTCAAGAACCAGGATCAAAAAAAAAAAAAAAAAAGCTAAGGGATGATGCTCAGGTCCTGAATTCAATCCCCAGTTTGTGTGTGTGTGTGTGTGTGTGTGTGTGTGTGTGTGTGTGTGTG